CCACGGTGAGGCCCACCACCCCCCCCGTGACCACCCTGCGAGCGGCAGCGATGCGGTGCGGGGTGATGCTCCTGTCCCACCCGCACCTCCTTGCACCCACGGCATCACCATGGCGGTGGGGGATCCTCAGGGTCAGGGGTTGGGTCCCGGTGCCAGTGCAGAAGAGCTGGACGGGGGATACTGGAGGATTGGTGGGAGGATGCTCATCGCTGGGTGACATCCCCGGGGCCACAGAGGATGCTAATTGTACCAGTGCTGGCTCCATCCCAGGCAGGCGAGCACTCCCCAGGCCCCTTCCCAGCTCTGGGGGCTGCTAAGTTGGACACCCCCATGGGGAAACTGTAGGCAATGGGCACTTTTGCTACAAAAAGTCCCCAGCCACAGAGGCTGGGTGCTCTGGTGAGATTTGGGGGATGTTCTCGGCGCACCTGCGTCCATCCAAAGCACCCAGCTGAGAGCTGGAGACGTGGGCAGGCTGCGACGGAGGGGTGCATCTGTCCCCCAACACCACTCCATCCCCATCCTCACCCAAAGCCCAGCTGCACCCTGCAGCGTCACCCTCCTCTGAAGCAAAAGGCGTTGGCCAGACCCCAGTTTTTTGGGCCCAATCTGAGCAGGCAGGCTGGGCAAGACGCGTCCCCAAAGCTGCCATATTTATAGCTCAGCCCAGCTTGTTTACAGCTTCACAGAATTACCTACATCTCCATCTGCTCATCTCGAAAAGCAGAAGTAGGAAAAAATAGAAGAAAAAAAAAAAAAAAGCAATGAAAGCATCTCTAGACGGAGTCCCCCCTGCCTGCCTGGCACGATGGAAAGAGGAAGCAGCCCGAGAAAAAAACACAGACCCTGACCCAGGGGGTGGGAGGAAAATCCCGCGTTCAGTACGTCTTTAAGCCACAGATGATGCTAAAAGGTCATGAGAAAAATGGAGGAGTTTCTGAGCGTGGTGGTGAGCTGGGGGGTGCCGCACAGCCGTGGCCCCCTCGGCAGGTCGGGATCCAGGCAGGGATGGACTGCAGAGCCCCGGCACAGCCTGCCACGGGGAGCTTGGGGTGGGGGAAATTCGGGGAGGGTCGGGTGTTCTTATCACCGTGCCATCACCTCGGCATGGAGCGGGCATCAAACACCAGCAGGGATTTCCAGCCAGGCGGCATGGCCGTGGCAGGAGCTTATACCCTGTCCTGGTTTGAGGTAAAACGGAACCAATTTTGTTCAGTAACTTCGCTTCTTAGCTATGCCTCTCCTAACTACTGACATTAACGGCATATTGTGCAGCCAACGTTCACTCTCTCAGTGATAAGAGCTATGTTCATAGCTGATGCCCAGGCATGGTATGCAGAGAGGCTCTTGCTTATACCTATTGCTATAACCCCCAAGGCCAACCAACTTTGTTATTTACCCCCTTGGAGGGTCGGAAGCGGAAAAGCACAGTGGGGTCCCACCTGTGGGGAGGAGCGGACAAGACAGGTGACCCCAAACTGACCAACGGGGTATTCCATCCCATCTGCCTCATGCTCAGTATAAAGGCTGAGGATCAAAGGGTCAGCTCTCTTTCTTCAATGGCCGACGACTGAGGGGGACCCTGTTCGTCTGCCTTAGATCCCGATCCTGAATGCAGATCTGGAATCCAGTCCCCATCCATCACGGAGTCCAGCCTGTATATTTCATTGTTTCTGTTTTTTAAATTTTATTATTAATATTTCATTAAAGTAGTTTAGTTCCTTCTAAACTTGTAAGTCTCTTTTTCCTCCTCTGCCCCTCTCTTTGAAGAAGGGTAGAGGGGAGCATCTGTCGGTCCCATCTGGGGTCCCCCAGGTCCCCAGTAGCCGATTTGGGCTAAACCACAACATACCCCCAGATCCAGGAACCGGTAGCTCTCTCCAGTCTCACGAGCAAACCCTTTCCTGCCCCACGCTGAGCTGGACGGGGCACCCAGGGGGTGGCTGGGACCCCCCGCTGGCTGCTCAGAAGCAACCCTGAGCCGCGTGTGCTGGCAGGTAGGAAAACCTCAAACTTTCAGGTTAAACAACTTTTTTTTTTTTTTTTTTTTTTTTCCCCCTCTGCAAAATGTTTATAATTTGCTATATCCCCGTGGGGCCGTACGGCAGCGGTGATTTGCAGCGCCCTGCTCCCACTAATCGCCCGATGCACTAATGAATTGCCCGGGATCCACTGCAGCAGCGACTCCCGCCCCGGGCGGGAAAAGCCCTACGCAAACACTCATTAACCGTCCTCGGGAAAGCTCTCCGGCGTTATTACACCCCTTGTCACCAGCACCGAAGCCAGTGTCAGGGAGGGGCGAGGCAGGCCCCGAGACAAGCACCCCGGTTCCTATGGGGGAGCTGTGCGGGATTGCGGTTTCTCAGGATCATGCCCATCCCCTTCCCACCCTACAGAGATGGAGGATGCCGAGAAATGGCTGCTCCCAGAACCTCTGGACCAGCCAACCCTCCCCGCAGCCCCAGTACAGCCCAGCCAGAGCCCTGACCCAGATTCCCTCCTTGTTATTGTCTGCCCTGTGCCCAGGACACTCCCTCGCACCCCGGCACCGCACCGGGGCATTCCCCAGCGCTGACTCTGCCGCCCCGAGCACGGCACCGCGGGCGGGTTCCCGGGCTCCCCGCCATCCCCCGGGAGCAGCCGGGGCATATGTGGGCAGCGCTGCCCTTTGCCACCCGGTGAAGGTCCCCCACGCACTTCGCTTGTGACCTCAGCCCGGAGCAGCCACCGGCATCCCCCAGGGAACAGGATGGAGGCGGTGAGGGAGATGCTTCGCACCGGGCACAGCCCTCCAAACGCCCCGAACGCCCCGTCTGCCTTTCCAGCGCTTTCATACATAAAATAATCCAAGGGCTTGTTTTCCTTTTATAAACCGGATTGAGCACAGGCACTTTGCAGGCGCACAGGCACCAAAGGCAGATCACAGAGGGCCGGACCAGCCCTAGTCATCTCCCTGAAACCCAGGATCTCCCCAAAACCCATGGTGCCTACCTGCCCACCAAGAGCAGCTCTCGCTCGCCAGCCCGTGGCCTCAGCTTCCTCCAGATGTCCATGGTGAAGAGGGTGCTGCTGCTGTTGAATATGGAGGTCAGGGATGACATGAGGGCAGCCATCATCACCGCGATCATCAGACCCCGCAGCCCTGGTGAAGAGAGGGACCATCAGGGAGTAGCCGAACTGGGGGTGATGGGTTGGGATGGGATGGGATGGGATGGGATGGGATGGGACAGCACAGCCCCAATACTTCACCCAGGGGTAATGCCTCCCCCTCTGCAGGCACACACTGGGGTCTCCCCTGGGGCAAGGACAGGGTTTGGGGCCACCCTGGGATGCTGAGACCCTGCGCTGCCCCAGGGTCACTCACATCCCCTCACCTCACTTCTGGAGCCACCCTTGGAGGGGCTGCATGGGCTGTCCCACACACAAACCCACCCAGACCATCCACGGGGTCACCCCCCAACATCCGAGCCTTGAAGGGCCACACGGGCAGCCCCGTCGCGTGGCAAAGCTCGGCGGAGACAGAGGTGCCCCCTTCCCACCCACCTACCGCTGGGCATCAGCTCGACCACCAGCTTGGGATAGGCGATGTTGGAGCAGCCCACGGCGGCCCCACACACGCGGGTGCACTCCTCGGGGTCCACGCAGGCCACATCATCTGGGGGACAGAGGCAGGTGACATGCCATGACCCCTCACGGGGCAGAGTCCAGCCCAGCACCTCCTTCCTCCTCCAGCAACCCCTCTCACCAGGATGGATATTGGCCCTTTGCTACGGCCACGGTGCCCAGACCTCGGCAGAGGACCGGGCGGTGAAGCAGGGAGCACATCCCACGTGGAGATCCACCTTTGCCTGTCCCCAGCCTCCCTCTCCGCCATCAGCCTCAAAACAGGCAGGATCCAGCCCAGCAGCAGCTCCCTCACCTCCCGCTGCCTTGTACCCAGCTCCCATCGGATCTACCCCCACCGAGCCCTCCCCACATTAAAGCCATCAGAAACCACCCCAGGGGGACCTCCAGAGCCACGATGGGCCCCATGGGGACCCGGGGCTACGGCCGGAGGTGGCAGAGCCCCGCGGGCAGGCGCTGCCCGTCCCCCCGCACGGGGCCAGGCGGGTTCATGCACCGTTGCGACAATTACCTCCGTATGGGCAGCACCCAGCAGCTCGCTGGGACGCGCGTGGCAGCTCGCCAGGGCCGTCAACGCCCAATTACTTCTCTGTCCCAACGAGCGCTCAACCCTATTTTATTTTTTTTTTTTATTGTTACGCTCATAAAATATTGAAATGGATGGAAATTAATGTCAGGCATAAATATGGATGGGCTGCCCGGCTCGCCGGTCTGCATCCTCCCACCGATGAGCATAGGGAATAGCACGGGTCATCTTCGCACTTGAGCGGGAACATCGCCCCGATCCTCCTCCACGGTGACCCCCGCCGAAGCGGGGTGCAGCCCCCGGTCCCCCCCAGCAGTAGCAGCTGGGGAAGGGAAGCCCCAACTGGTGACACCTCGGGGCTTTCAGTAAAGGAGTGTGGGGTGCCACGGGGATGCGATGGGAGCGCAACACAGGGTGCAGGCAGCAGACCACCAGGCAACGCTCAGCACATCCCAAGGACGCTGAAAAAGTCCATCCTGAGCCACCTTTCCCCAGGGTTAGAGTCAGCGCCGGGGCTCCGGTGACTCTATCCTCCAGCAGCTGTGAGTAAAGCTGCCATCACCGCTCCGTGCCTCAGTTTCCCCCTCTCTAAAACACCACGTTGTGCGCGGCTCCATGCAAATGGCTGGCAGCCGGCGGGTGGAAGATGCTCCAGAGGGTAAAGAAGCGTCTGGGTGTTGCAGCCCAGCCAAAACACCGGCCTGAGGGCTCAGCTCTGCCGCCGAACCCCTCGGTGGGACCCGGGAGCGTGCGGGAAGCGGGAGCCAAGCCCAGAGGAGCAGCCGGAGCCCCCAAACCGGGACCAGAGCCCAGCATCATAACCCCCGCCTTGCTTTGTCATTAGGCCCTCTGCTAGAAATGGGAAATTAATTAGGAGCTTGTAATTAACGCTTCTATCTGCGGCTGGGAGGAGCCAGCCCCGGTGCCTGTGCTGGGTGCTACCTCTCCAGCTGGGTCAGCCCCGGGCGGCCGCGCAGGGACACCTGCGATGGTGGGGACCAACCTGCTTGGCCATGGAGACTTGTCCCTGCAAGCAGGCAGAGGATCACAAAGGAGCTGCCGGCTCCTTCCCTGTGCCCAGGCTGCATGCAATTCAGGTGCCGAATTCATGATGTGGGGTGAAGATGCCTGGGTGCTCCGTCCCCAGGGGACCGGGGACCCACGCATCTTCACCCCACGTGGGGGTCGGGTGTGGGGCTCTGTGGTCCCAATCCCCACCTCCAACGCAGCCGTAGGAGCCAGCGCATCGCGCGACCGATGGGATGCTGTGTTTGCACCGCCGTCTAATAAATCATAAGCGTGCACACACCCCGCTAAAGAAACTGTAAATCTGCTCGCACAATAAAAACAAAGCGGGGGCAGCCGGCGGTGGCTGAGGTGGGTACAACCGCAGCACGCTCCAGCCACGCCGCGCACACCCGTGCTTGATGCACCGGCCCCGATCTGGGACATCACCCAACCTACTGGGCCTGGGCCACCCAAGGGGGAAAAACGGCCAGGGATGAGGTCTTGGAGGTCCCCCATGGGTCCTGGCCACGTCCTCAGCTCTGTCATGTTTGCTGTCCCAGGTGGAACTCCATCAGTGATGGGGCCACCACTGCTTGCTCAGCAGGGCTGGGATTTCACCCCAAAAAAACAGTTTTGCCTCCAGCACCCTCAACCCCTGCTGCACCCCTTGCTGCCCAGCTCACGGCACGGAGGTGATGTCCCACCACTGGGAAATCCCCACAGGGTCGGTGCAGCCTTTCCATAAAGTCATCGCTTGCATCTCAAACAACTCCTGAGCCGATATCCGCTGGGAGTCGAACGCTTCCTTCCGCCTCGTGTCCTGATCCCAACACACGGCTGCCATATCCCTGCATCCCCGTGTCCCCTGTCCCCATTGCCCCCTCCTGCAGACAACAGACCAGAGCTGGGCACAACCCAGCTTTGAGAAAGCCCCGCTGGAGTTTCTCCACTTTCTGCATGTTTCCGACTCATTTTTTCTTCTAAATCCTCCCTGGGCTCAGTGCTTCGCCACGCCGCCAGCCCCAGCTGGGGACAGGGCAGCCGGGATGCTGCTTGGCCACCGTGTCTGCGGAGAGGAGCGCTTTGATGGCCGAGTTCCCCGGGCAGACGGGCGGCTTCGCCTTGGGAGCCTGACTCAAGCAGGGCTCTCATTTACACGGCTGCAAATCCAGATGAGCTGCTCCAACGCGAGGAAGTGAGACGCAGCCCCTGGCACTTTCCTTTTTTGCATCGGTGCAAGAATCTGACCCCGATTCTTGAAATTCATCTTTTACCCGAGTTTTCAAGTAGAAAGCTCCATGTTTCTGGCTTGTGAGAACCAACTGATGAATCCAGGGTGGAGGGTTTTGCCCATCTCCCAGTTAGTAACGCTATTTAGCATAGCAAGGTCAAATGCTGTGAGTGTATCTCTGCTGCAAACCTTGTGCCAAAGCAGAGGAGGGAATAGAAAAGAATAGAATAGAATAGAATAGAATAGAATAGAATAGAATAGAATAGAATAGAATATATATTTCAGTTGGAAGGGGCCTACAATGATAATCTCATCCCACTGCCTGACCACTTTAGGGCTGACCGAAAGTTAAAGCATGTTATTAAGGGCATTGCCCAAATGCCTCTTAAACACTGCCAGGCTTGGAGTATCAACCACCTCCCTCGGAAGCCTGTTCCAGCGTTTGACCACCCTCTTGGTAAAGAAATGCTTCCTCATGTCCAGTCTAAACCCCCCGGTGCAGTTTTGAACTATTATGACAGCTCTGACCCGGTGCTGCCCCCGGGACCCCCCTGGGCCCCGAGTTCCCGCACAGGCATCCTTGTGCTCGGCGCAGGAGGGGTTAACCACGAGGCAGAGCTGCTTTCCTGGAGAATATTAACTTACCAGCCGGCACACTGGGAAAGAGGGAGATTTCGGGGAAAAGCAGGTTGTGTTTTTTATTTTTAAGACAAACCCTCAAAACACTCGCCAGCCGCCCACCGACCTCCCGCACCCCCATGGTCCCCGGGGGATGCTGGGGCCGGGCAGAGGTGTGAGGACGGCATCAGCCGAAAGAGTTAAGGTACGGGCAGGGCCGGGAATGTGTGAAGGCAGCATGTGACTGCAGGTGGGGCAGGGCGGAGCAATGAATCACTCTTTTGCTTTTCCTCTTTTCACTTCTTGCTGTTACCTGTCCGGCCCCGGCACTTCATGCTGGCAGGAGCATGAAATAATCGACCTGCCAGCCAGGGCGATGCACGAGAGGCTGACGGAGACGTTCGCTGCCGCGAAACCCACCGGCTGACCTAGTTCTCCAGGAACGATAACCAGGGACGGTGTTCGGGCCGAGAAATCCTGCTTTTCTCTGCCTTCTATTAAGCTGTTTTGGTTTTTTTTTGTTCATTTGTTTCCCACTTTTTATTTTATCCGGTATTATCGTTATCTTGAAACAGCAGAGGATGAGAAGAGCGTGGATGCGGAGGTAGAGAACCTTCCTGGCGGTGCACGTGTGCCCGGGGCCGTCTCTGCCCCGTCGCAGAGCCCCGGCCGTGGGAAGCTCCGGGTTTTCCTCGCCCGGAGCCCTCTCTCCGCGCAGAGCCGGGAGCAAACAAGAAACCGAATCCTCCTCCCTGACAGAGAAGAGCTCCGGCCTGGCAGGAGCCGGCGGAGAAGGGAGCGGCGTGTTTCCCCAGCTGTGCGTTGAGCCGGGGAGGGCGAAGCAAAGAAAATTGTGTATTTAAAGACTGGGGAATAATTATTTCCTTATTTATTGTCGACATCCAGCGCTCACTGGGGGTACAGAGCTCCCTTCGGAGAGGGTACCGGCGTGCGTGGTCACCATGGCTTTCTCCCAGGTGCAGTGCCTGGACGACAGCCACGTCAACTGGAGGTCCAGCGAGTCCAAGCCCGAGTTCTTCTACAGCGAGGAGCAACGCCTGGCACTGGAGGCACTGGCCTCCCGTGGCCCCGATGCCTTCTATGAGGTCCTGAAGAAGGAGAACATCAGGGACTTCCTCTCCGAGTTGGAGCTAAAGAAGATCCTGGACACGTTGGAGACGTACGACCCCGGTTCCGAGTACATCCCGCGCCACGGCAGCAGCACGGGGGAGAGCGAAGGCGATCGCAACAGCCAAGGGGACGAGCAGGACGTGGCCCCCTCCCTGGAGTACTGGCCCCAGAGGTCTGACCGCTCCATCCCCCAGCTGGACCTCGGCTGGCCCGAGACCATCGCCTACCGCGGGGTCACCCGCGCCACCGTCTACATGCAGCCGCCCATCGAGGGGCAAGCGCACATCAAGGAGGTGGTGCGGAAGATGATCTGCCAGGCTCAGAAGGTGAGGTGCGCCGTGGGGATGGGGTAGGATTAGCCCCGGGGGCTGTTCTGCTGAGGGTAGATGCTAAAGTCCTGCTCCGCCAGGTAATCCCCATCCTGTGGGGAACTCTACCCAAGCAAAGGCATCGGGGACAAGCGTTGGGGTTTTTCTGCCTTCATTCGGTGTAATCAATACTTGGGGATCAAGTTTTG